ATGTAACTTCTATTTAAAGAAATGTTTCTTACGTTTTTGTTAAAACTGTCACCAGATCATGACAGGTAATCTGTGAAAAGATCAATCTCCACTTCCTCCTGAGCAACTATTACCATCTGAAGAAATGTTCCCAAACAAAAACAACCAATCAGATCCAGGAGGAGGGTCTTAGTGCTGTCAATCAACAGGCTCTGCTAGCTGAATCTCACCAGAGAGCTAGGAGTCAATGGGAAGAGATGATTGACAGCACTAAGACCCGCCTCCTGGCTCTGTTTGGTTGTTTCCAGTTCGCACTGGGAGAAGGAAGAGGAGCTTCTTTTGTAATAACAGACTGTTATTTATCCAACTCTTTTTCTGTATTAACTGAAATTCACAGATTTTTCAAATTCCTTTGGACTCATTTAACCAAATTTATTCTCAGTTAAAAGATTTGGTTGTAGAAAAGTCAGATTTTCTGTTACAGTTACTGGGTAGACTTTGTTTTAATTATTATCAAAGCTCCATTGTAAAAATACAAATATTTTGTGTGGTACCTTACATTTTACATTGTTGGAAAATCTGGTCAATATTTATAATACACTAATTAGAAATAAGAAATTAAATAAACAAATATATGTCATTCTTGAACTGTAGCTGGGATCCACAAAAAATCATTCTAAGGGCTAAAAATGGCCCACAGGCCACACTTTGGACATCCCTGATCATTCCTGCACTTCTGCAGCACCATAAAGCCAATGCTGAATTCACTGAAATTACACTAAATCTAAAAAAGATTAAAGGCTGTGATTCATGCAAGCTTTAAATGGTTAATGCGGCACCTGGAAGGGCTTTTAAAAGTGGATCCAGCTGCAGAGCAAGAATAACGACTAAAATGAGTGAAACAGGTGATGCAGTTTTATTTCTGAGCATAATGGTGCAGGCTGGAGCTCCTCAGCTTGGGTCCCATTTACTGTTTATAGACAGGATCTCAATGCAGAGGCTGTCTGGTTCAGTTAATACAGCTAGAAACTAGACCTGAACATTCAGGGTCACATAAAGACGGTTACAAAGTCGGCCTTCTGTCACCTGAAGAACATTTTCAGGATTAAAGGGCTAATGTAGCAGCAAGATCTATAGAAACGCACTGATCACTGCAACAGGTCTGCCTAGGAAAAAAATAAATAAAGAAATTCTCCAGCTGATCCAGAACGCTGCTGCTGGAGTTCTGACTGAAACCAGGAAGTTAAAGAACATCATCCAGATCTAAAGTCCTTCACACGTTCCCTGTCGCTCAGAGAATAGACTTTAAAATACTGCTGTTAGTTTATAAATCACCGAACAGCTCAGCACCACAACACGTTAAACATCTGTTGGATCAACCTTCAGAACCTCTCAGGTTCTGAGAGGTTCTGAAGAAACAAAATTCACTTTTTATGCTCCTCCTATCTGGAATAAACTTCCAGAAAACTGCGAAACTGCTGAAACACTGAGGGAGGTCCTTTAAATCAAAACCTGTTTAGAGCTGCTCTTGATTAGCAGTGAATGGAACATTGATCAGCATTTCGGATGAACATTTGCTTGCATTTGACAGAATATAATGCTTATTGTTTGAGATGTTTTTAAGACGTAAAGCACTTTGAACTGCCGAAATGTGCCATATGAATAAACTTGAATTGAACATGTGCTGCCCTGTCATCAGTGTCTGCTCTTTAATCTTCTAAGCTGTGTGTGTATTCGACGCAGTATGAGGTAAAAATAAAATAACTCTTTATGAACAGAGAATATTCACCCTTAGCAGCAACCAGTGAGAAAAAAGAGAGGAAAAACCGAGCTGAAGATGTCAGGGTTCATTAAAACTCTGTGCGCTCCCTTGGTGTCTGATTAACCTGTTTGAAGCTTTTCCTAATTAGGTAATTAGTCGAGCTTGGAAAAGGCTTCAGAGTCCCACCACTGCAGACTTCTAATGATATAATAAAGATAATCAGCTGCAGTTTCAGACTTCAGTTTGTGAGTCGAGAAATGATGCATTATTATACGATTTGCCTCAGCAAAGCAAATTTGAGATTACGGTAATTTAATACTGCTCTGGCCTAGAATCTGACTGAAGCTGAATTTTAACCTGCTATAATATGTGATGGTGTTCTTACTCTGTTTGTCCTGAAAAACAACTTTAATGCATCAAAGATGAACTATTTTTACAAAGCACAAAGGAGGAGAGGATGGGGGCGGATATGAAAGGGACCCTGGGACACTGATGGATGATATGAGTGGGTGAGGCAGCTTCGGTCTCATATGTGCATTTTTTATTAGAAACAGGACTCAAAGTATGAAATAGAAGACATTTTCCCATTAAAATAATCTGAATTCCTCTCCTGAGACAGCCACAGCCCACAGCTACTTCCTGCTGATCCGACGCTTTGATTAATTGATCGTTATCAGAGTGAGAAGCTCGATGAAGGCAAGACGTAAATCCTGATGCTCTAAAGCACACAGGAAGACATCAGTGGTTGGTAAAGCGCTAATAGCAGACCTAATTTTTATAGCTTTGAAGGCATTGAGCACCCTTAGCTTTCCTTGAATACATTTTTCTAAATAAATTATAAAGTTCTGATTTACGTTGCTGTTTTGTGAACTTTTTGTTGAATAAAGTTTGACAAAGTTTAGTTATCGACTGTTAGTAGTTAGACGTTTATGCTCTCATTTGGAAGTGGGTGAAGACGGTTCCTCATCCTCCCATGTTCTCCAACACGTTTATTCCCAGAATGCATCAGTAAACAGCTTAAAGTCTACTGATGTCCTGCAAGCTTTCTGACCGAAGTCCCACAGTGGACAACCAAGCAAAATCAGCAACAGAGTTAGAAAAACTCAACAATAAAACTGAAATTATGAGTGAAAAAAATCACTTCCTGAAGTTCAGCGTGTACAAATAGATGTTCAGCACCAATTTTAATTATATACTATGTTGTAACATGTTAGGTTTTTTTTAGTTTGTACATTCCAGGTAACAATTAATAAATAACTAAATGATTATTATTTCAATAACGATCAATTTGACTGTCAGTTTCAGCTCTACTGCAACTCTTCTTTCTGCTTGGTGAACCAGTGAGCTGAAAACTCAAGATGGCTGCTTTGCATTTGTTTTGATCAGGAAAAGGAAGAACAGCTCAGCGTGGAAGTGGAGCCGGTTTAGGAAGACCTTGCAGTTTCCATCCCGGCTTTACCTTCTTTGGTTTTCCAGGATGTGTTTGGTTCCCAGGTTAACCGAGTTAAATGTGTGTGAAGCTAAGCCGTTTACAGTGATTGGATGTAATAAAATGAAATACATTCACAGTAAGTAGTTTAAAATGATAGGATTGGGTGTGTGTGTGTGTGTGTGTGTGTGTGTGTCAGTGGAGTTTTGGCTTTATTCCTGCCGCTGAACGACTCTGTCACGATGCACATCTTCACTGGAGGCCCTTTTGCCTCGAGGCAGAAAAGTCGAAACAAGTCACAGATTTTTTATTTAAAGCCCTTAATCTGCATTCTCTGCCAGGTTTCACCGCCGTACAAAAAAATCTGCACTGATTTTACATCTTTTAACCTTTTACTGCAATAACACAAACTCTTATCAAGTATTTCTGGTCTAGTTTCTTGTGCAAATATCTTAATACAATTGAAATAAGACAAAAGTAATTTTTCAACTACATATAGCAGCTTGTTGTAAATATTTAATATTGGTTAAAAACAATATTGTTATAAGTGAAATAATCTGCCAATGAAACATTTAAAATAAGCTGCTGTCTTGCAGAAAAGTTACTTTAATGTCGGTTTTGTGTTATTTGATATTTGCACAAAAAACTAGAGAAAAAATACTTGATAATATTTTGTGTTTTTGCAGCGTTGCAGGTGGAAATCAAGTCTTTTCTGTGTAACAGAATTATCGTTCTGCTTCTCCTTTAGTTATTTGTGAAGAGAAAACACGGCGACGGCAGCTGGGAGTCATTCTCCAAACACAGGCTTCTGCTTTCGTGGAGGAATCAACCGATTCAGAAATCTGAGAATCTGTTGCATAAACAGTTTGTCGGGACGGTGTTGGACCTGGCTGCGGCTCAGCATGACGGATTTACATTTCAAATCGGTTCTTCTCAGAACGAAGCAGGCAGATAATAAAGCCTGTTTGTGTGAGCGTGCGCTCGGTTTAAAGGGAGGAATCCTATTAGCAAACTGTTGGCCTTTGATCCGTTTGTCACCTGATGGCTCGATGTCCAGCAGAGACGACAACGGTTGGTCTGACGTTGATCAAATAGAGGAACTACGACCTCTTCCTTTTGGCTTTAAACTATCAGGATGTAATTTAATTCCATTGTGGCTGAAACTATTAATTGGATTATTGAAATAATTGTCAACTAATTTAGCAATCGACTAATTGATGATTGGACTATACAGACTCAAAATAAGGACATTTTGTGGCGAAGCTACTCCTTCAGACATTTATTTAAGCCAAAAGTGCACAAAAATATAAACATTTTAAGATCAAAACACTTTCAGCTGGAAAAAATCCAAAACTCCTCTGGCAGTTTCAGCTTCACTCAGTTCAAATCCTCTACAGGAACAACATATTGACGACTTATTTGCATGTTTTAATGTAGAATGTGGCAATTTCTTTCATCCCATTAATGGACTAATCGTCACAATAATCAGTAGATTAATTGATAAATATAATAATAAAGGTAGTTCGGTTCTGCTTTACTTCTCAATCTATACAACCTACTGATAGGAATTTTAAAAAGAAGAGAAGTGATGGTTAATGGTTTAATAGTTATAGATTTCATGGATCCAGATTCCTTCAGTCCAAACTGATTGATTTTAGTCAAAACTCAAACACAAAGTGATTTTGTTTGCTTAGTACAAGTACATACATATTTATATTGAAATCAAAATTATATTTATTTAAAATATGATAATAATAATAATCATGGTACACACCAACAGGTGTATCATTCACAAACTATGTATATTTTGCTTAATAAAAAGTACTTTAAAAGACTTCAGTGTCCAAGTAAAACTAAAATAAACAATACAATTAATTAAAATAAAATTCAAATCAATTGAAATTTAATAAAATAAATATATATGGATACAGTGATGCTGTGTTTTGGGCTTCCTTGCATTTGAATTGGTAGGACAAAATGTAAAATATTATATATTAAACAGAGATAATAATTCATGAAGCTGCTTCGGCTGTTTTTCTCTTTGCTTCAGTGCAGCTCTGAGTTGCTGATGGACGTGGTTCTGTCAGCTTCTCCTTCCCTTAACTGTGATAAATCATACATCAAGAGTCAGAGCAGGAAGAAAAACAACACTTTTCATTTTTGTGATCAGTAAGTCGAAGCAGAAAACTGTCAGTTTAAGCCGAGTCGTGCTCTGCGGTTTCACTTTGGCAGAAAGAAAGAAGCAGAATCAAAGTCCTCCAGAGGCCCCCGCGAGGACGACGCCCCGGCTGCAGATTAAAGGGCCGATTCTGGATTATTTAACGGCCAAATTAAAATTCACAGAGTAGATTTACAGCTCTGACAGATTGATGTTCGCTGCGCTTCAGCCGTCCGCTGGATGGAAATGTGACGAAAGGAATCGGATCAGCGGGCCGGAACCAGGATGCCGCCGCAGACGGTTCATCCACAGAAACACAAACCAAACGGGCTAAAGGGACAGATGGAGTCAGGGAGGGTCAGAGGTCAGGGAGGGTCAGAGGTCAGAACATCTGGAGAGTTGGGAAACCCACAGCAGGACAACTTCCCTGATTAATTTCCACTTGTTTGGTCCTGAACAAACAAGTGGAAATTGTCCGTCCGTCATTAAAAAAACAGATTTTTCTCACACAGAAAACAGAGGAGCAGCCGGAGACGCGAACACCTGATCTTCATCTGCTGGCGCTGAGCAGGTAAATCTGCCCTCCATCACTTCTCTGCCCTTCACAGCCCTCTGCTGTCTCTTAGCAACGCCAGCGGCCGGATCAATGGAGCCACAGAGGGATGGATGAGGAGCCGAGAGGACAAAAAGAGGGAAGGATGGGTGGGGATGCAAGGATGGAGCATGAAGAGGAGGCTTGAAATGTCACCATCTGATCTGTGCGCAGGAGATTTTAAAGAGACAGGCTTCATTTCTGCACATGTGAGGCGACACGAGGAGGACAATATGGAGTTTATGTCCTCAGAAACAGATGTGACTGGAAGGTACTGGCTCTTCAGCAGCAGCAGCTGGGCGCGCAGAAAAGCTCAAACATTAATTAAAACATGATTTAACGACCTACCTCCGTGTGGCACCAGCAGATCTGCGGCTGCAGGTTGTTCAGGCTCCGCAGCCTTACAGCAGCCAGCCACGCCGTCTGCATGTAAATGCGTCTGTTTATTCTCCGGGTCCAAAGCCTCCGGAGCCGGAGCCAGAACCAGAACCTCCTGGTCACAGCAGCAGGCGCACAAACAGCCAGAGGAGCCGCTGCCTCGCTGCGGATGCTAAAAGCTGCTAACCCCGCTGGGGGCGGAGCGGGACGCCCGCCGGGGCAGGTGGAGGACCGCGGGGGTCCACAGAGCCAGCGTCAGCCCGGAGGCCGGTCGGACATGTCCCAGAGGAGCTGCGAGGTCGGAGTCCGTCCCGGAGAAACAGTGGATGATCACCGGCGGCCGCGGCTGTCAAACTGACCGGCGGTGAACCACAACTTCCGGTTGTGGTCTTTCACAAAAAAAGCCGAGAAGCGATTCAAAGAAACGATCGACTCGGTAAAAATCACAATTAATCAACCAGTCTGTATTTCTTGAGCATTTATTTTCTTGCATAATAAATAGTGTGACAGAAAAACAGAAGAAACTAGAGATAGTCGGAGGTAAATATGGTTTAACTACAGAATGAGGTGAATTACTGCCCAACAATTGAGACATTTTGGGAGAAAATTACATCTATTAACTCCTTAAGCTGAAAATGTGTCACTTTTTAACGTTTTAAACTGAAAATGTTTTTTTGTCTAGGAAATTTCAAAGATTAATCTTAAAATTTCTGAATTTTTGGCGGAAAATCACTTTTTCTTTTTTAAATCCACAATAAAAGATAAACAATTTCTAGTACCAGTATATACATATTTTAAACCGATGTGATTTTGGTTTGAAGGATTGAGGAAACACAACTGTGTTAATTACCAGCATGAAACTCTAGAGATGAACAAAAAGTCTGAGACGCCTCAGAACAAATAATACAATAGCCAAAACAATAGAAATGCATGCAAAGTTACAAAAACGATAAAATATATATAGCACACGTAAATGGCTTCAAATATGCATAAATATAATAACTTAAAATGGGATTAAATTAGAAATAAACAGTCTTATTATTTATTTATTAAAAAGGAAAAAAAAAAATATTCTTCACTTTGGCCGATTGGAACTGGAGAAGAAACATTTAACAGCCCAGTTCGATTAACAGTCGTGTTAAATAATGCAATTATTACATAAATCAGACATACAGAAAACTGTTTTTTAACTCAAACGCAGCTAGGCAATAAATAAAGAAATAAAGTTTTAACTAAATAAGTAAAAGATAAATAAAAATCTAATGACTGATAAAAATATCTTATTTTAAATTAAAAAGAAATATTGTCCAATTTATGTAATAGCAAGCCACTTTCATTTAGAAAGAACTAATTATATTTGTTGTGTATTTTTTGAGTGTTTTATTGTATTTTATCCTACTAGACCTTGATGTGAATACATTAGAACAGCTAATTACGCTTTTCAAAAAGATAAAGTTATATTTTGCATAGATTCATAATACATCACAACTGCTTGTTTTAACTTTACCGTAACTTTATGATCCTTTGTCGACACCTGCTGGACACATTCAATTACTGCAGAGAATAATTTCAGTCAGGCATTGTTCAGGGCGACCTGTTTTTGGCGACCGTTGGAAAGACGGACCCCTGCTTCGGAAATCTTCAGAGAAACCTTTGAATGGATGATTTTTATCCGCTGAAATCTCAGACATCTAATTAACTACCCTGGTAAATATTTTATTTTGCACATCTTTAGTCTGTTTAGAGCAAAGCAGATGCTTTATTGCGGTAGAATGTGGCTGTTTTTCAGTGAAGCGGGTGCATCTGGCAGAAAGTGGCGCTGCGTATGAAAAACGTAAAAATGGAGGTCAAGTCGACTCAAACAGGCCGAGTTTCTGTTAAAAACACCGTTTTTGTCTGCAGATGTTGATTACAAAGCAGGAGTGTGTGTTAATATTTATTAACTTTTCATTAGTGGAGTTACGGGCAGCTAAACATGAACAATGAACTAGAAGTTTGCAAAGAAGAAGCTAAAATAAGCCAGTTGTAGTCCAGAAACCACATCACTCAGACGAGTTCCCTTCACACTGGATCAGATTACAAATCCCAAATGTTGTGAAAAATTCAATTAGTAAATTTTGAGCTCCATATTAACATACTTAAAATATATAAAAGTATAATTTCTTTGCGTTTGCAGAAACAGCTGCTGTTATTTTTGTAGTAAAGACCTCTTAAACATGTTTTATGAGTTATGAAAATGTCAAGATGTTTGTAAAAGTGAAAGTTCTGGTTTTGTTTTGTTGAATATTGAAGAGTGGTTCTCAATGTTGGGCTCGAGGCCCGCAGTGGGCCATAGCGTGCCAGGCAAAGGGTCAGAAGATGCCCTTCAAAAATCTCATTTCTCAAGAATCTTAAAAAATATATATAAAAATATACTTATTCACCAGGCCAAATAACCCAATAACAAGAACTTGACGCTTTTGAAATTATTTTTTTCTTACTCTATTTGAATGAAGATGCAACAGACTGATGTTTGAAAATTACATTCTTGTAATTTCAGTTTTTAAAGCGTTTATTCTACGTAATACAAGTCTATTAATGGATTTATGGAATATGGGTGGTGTTTGTTAACTTCTTGTTTATTCATTCTGTAGGAAAGCTAGGTATACTGAAGCATTTATAAGTAGGGCCACAATCAAAATAAATCTGAGAAAGTTTGTAAACTGTCCATGTCCTAATTAGGTAATTCCAATTTTAGTTACTGTTGACATTTTTTTTTATTAACTGAGTTTAATATTTATTCTTTTTCCAGCAGGACTCTTAGCTGGACATAGTTAAGCTGCTGTTTTAGTAACTACATAAAACATCTTCCAATACTGCTTTTCTTCCCGTTTCTTTGTAGTTCTGGGTTGAGTGCTCCGTTAGCCGTCACAGGACAACAGCGTGAGGAACCATGTTTCTCTACAATATCACCCTGCAACGGGCCACCGGCATCACTCATGCCATTCATGGAAACTTCTCAGGTGAGCTTCCTCTGCATATTTTTGCTTCCTGTTCAGTCGGGTTATTTGGCTGAGCTGCTTACAACCCCTTTTGTTTGGAAACTGTCTTTGCTTCCTTTGCTCTTTAAAGTAGAAGAAGTGATTTTAATATTTATAGGAAGCTTTGCGCAGATTAAGTTTAGTCCGTTTGTGTTTTGGTAGGAACCAAGATGCAGGAGATTGTTGTTTCCAGAGGAAAGATCCTGGAATTATTGCGTCCGGATGCGAACACGGGAAAGGTGCATACCCTCCTCACGATGGAAGTGTTCGGCATCGTCAGATCCCTGATGGCCTTCAGGCTCACAGGAGGAACTAAAGGTACGTCGTCATGGAAACGCTCGCTCAAATGCAGAAATTAAACAAGCAACTAACTACCTGTGGCTTGAAGAAACCATAAATTTGATTCCAAATCATGGATTAAATAGTTCGTAGTTTCATTTAATATGTTTTTCATTTTGATTTGCAACACCGATTTAGATAACTTCATAATTTTGACAGAGTAAACTGTTTATTATCAAACGTCAACATTCATTGAGGTCTTGCATTCATACCGCTCACTAAACGGCAAGTTTTTTTAAAACTTTGATGGCATTTACGGAACTATTAATGGGTCAATAACTGAGTTACTACATTATACAATAATTTAATGTATGATGTGGAGGAAGTATTAATAGTGTCTTTAAGTTAGACATCAGTGACAAATTCGAAAGAAGCCTGGCCTTTTGTCTGAAGCAGGTTGATAACTGTCTTCTTACTGAGAGCTATCAAGAAACTCTGAGAGAATTTATTCCAAAACAAAAGATCTAAAGTTTTTAACTTTTAAATGCCTTCTTGTTTCCAGACAATAATTATGTTTTCTCTCTGACATTTCCCAAAAAGTTCCCTTTAGACAGTTTCTTATGTCACTTAATTCATTACTGAAAATATCTACTTTGAATTTCTTTCCTTCAGTAAAACCATTCGCACAGAAGAGTGTTGTCATTGAGACCCAGCGGTACTGTAGTTGGCTCACCAGTCAGAGAAGGAGCTGCAGCGTGTGTAACTGTGTGATCTGTGTTTGTTTCTGCAGATTACATCGTTGTGGGAAGCGACAGCGGCCGCATCGTCATCCTGGAGTACCATCCGTCCAAAAATCAGTTTGAGAAAGTTCACCAGGAAACATTTGGGAAGAGCGGCTGCCGGCGCATCGTTCCTGGACAATTCCTGGCCGTCGACCCAAAAGGAAGAGCTGTGATGATCGGTGGGTTGTGTTGTACATTTCACGCAGGTTGGGTAGAGGGGTTTGTGATAGTTTGCCTGACCTTTATTCAGTCTAATTCTGTGTTTCTGAGTCATTTGAAAAAAGGTTTGTTGCAGTTTATTTTTACAAGGTCAAATAATATTTTTTCAGTGTCTTTGGCTTTTCTACTCTTGACTGAACAAATTAAAAAAAATTTTTTATTCTTTTACATGTTTGACCAAGTTTGTGAAGCTACAGGTTTATATAAGTGAGCTGTGTTGGTGTAGAGTTAGTAAATACATTTGAAATTTTATGTCTTATGTTTTAATAAAATGAACATTTTAAATCAATTCAGCTGTTTTTCTGCATCGTTTCAGTATCAGCTGCTACTAAATCTTATATATCTGTATTGGTATGGAAAGTGAAAGAAGTGCATCTCTTGTAAATTTATTAGTGGTGGATTTCCTTCTCCACCCAGTTAAAGGGAACTTCATGGATATAACGTGTGTGTTTATTTTTCCCCTCTTTCTTTCAGGAGCGATAGAGAAGCAGAAACTGGTCTACATCCTGAACAGAGACGCCGCTGCCAGGCTCACAATCTCGTCTCCTCTGGAAGCTCACAAAGCCAACACGCTTGTTTATCACGTGGTCGGAGTTGACGTTGGCTTTGAGAATCCCATGTTTGCCTGCTTAGAAATGGACTACGAGGTGAGCTGTCGGAAACCAGTTTATACGTTCACACAGCTGAGCCTTTGGTGTGATGAGTTTGTCATGTCTCTTCTCTGACTGTCACTGGAGAAACATTTACCTTCTCTGACCTTAGAAAAATCTCACATTCACGGTTGATTAGAAAATAATCGCATCCATCAGGAATCCTGTTATTTATGTTTTTCGTTTTGCATATTTATTTTCAGGAAGCCGACAACGACCCGACAGGAGAAGCTGCTGCAAACACACAGCAGACTCTGACCTTTTATGAGCTGGATTTGGGTCTGAACCACGTGGTCCGGAAGTACAGCGAGGCTTTGGAGGAGCATGGGAACTTCCTCATCACCGGTATGGATGTTTAAAACATTTCTGGAATTATATTTTTAACATTACTATACAGTTGAGGCCATAA